ATTGTATTGTATTGCTCAAATGATTCATAGGGAATGGTGGTCATGTTCTTAGCACTGGTTTACAGTCAGTGAAATATTGGTGTCTTGGAAAAAAGTACCAGAAGGGATTTAATAAGCTACCCTGACAGTTTTCAAACAGTGATTTTGCAGCAGCAGATAAGGCTGTCCTCAAAGAGAGAACCAGTAACGGAGGACAAGCACCTCTGAATGGCCGTTGGCTCCTGCCCATTATTCCTGCCATGTGGCTGCAGGAGAGGGCCCAAGTATTCTAAGTTCAAAAAGGACAGCAGGTAAGGACCACTGAGAGCTACTGCTGAATTGCTCAACATTATTTTGACAAAGAAAAATAATGCATGTGGAGATTGGAGTGGCTTGCTGGCAAACTTTTGAAAACAAAGCCAAGTTTGTAACAATCCCAAAATCTAAAATAGTATGTGTTGCACCAAACAATATCTATGACTTTATATATACAGTCTAAGGAACTCTATGTATCCCAAAGGAATTGGTAGGTAGAGAAGATGTTCTGAAAATTCGGGTTTCTAAAGGTAAAAATGTTTTGTTTTTTTTAAATACCAGATCTGTAAAAAGATTTTGCAAACCCTGGTTACTTCTTCTTGTCGTTATGTACTGTCATGTTGGAACCAACTTAAAACAACTCCAAAAGGGCTTGAAAGGCAAAAGGAATATTTAAGGAATGGTTTTACCAGTTCCACACCCCTAGTGAGTTTCCAGAGCTGAGCAGGGATTTGAACCCGGGCCTCCTCAGTCCTAGTCTGTCACTCTATCCACTACACCACATTGGGAGCTCTAACACCCATCAGCATTAATGTTAAACAAAGTAATTTATTTGTTATGAAGCGTAGCTCACCTTGGCAGGAAAAGAAAGATGGCTTATGACTAGGTAAAGAACTTAAAACAGCATTTCATGGGGTCACTTAGCATCTTCTGGCATGATCCTTTCCATTTTTCTTAGTTATTCCAGACATTTACACAAAAATTGTATGAATAAAACAATGCTCTTTAATCTTTTATTAGGAGGAAGGGAGGGGACTGAAACATCACAGGCCACTTTGAATCCTGTGATGAATGGCTATTTGGAACATAGTGTTGTGGGAATTTGACACAATGGGAACCTCCTTGTTGATGGATGCTTAACCCAACAGGCTTGCTAGCTAAAGCTCTGGCGAACACATTTCAAAATATCAAATCTATTCTGACAAAGAAAAATAATGCATATGAAGATACTAAAAACCCATTGCTAAGCATGGTAAGTCACACTAGAGCAGATGGTGACAGAGGGAGGGAATGCCCACATCGATGCCTATCATTTAACTAAAGAAGGTGAAGTCAGTGACCACACTGGGGAAAAGAAGAACAGAACAATCCACAAAACCAGTGGTATGATGGGTCTTGCTGCTTTTGTTGTGGCATGTAAAAACTCCAGTTCCCCAACAGAAGCTTACAATTGCTTTTGATTGTTAAGTGTGTGCATGAAGACACGCTGAACCTAACTGCAAAGATTGGCACTCATCCAGAAGCTAGAACTGTGCAACCCACCCTGTCTGAATTCCCTCAATGTTACAGAAGTTAGCAAGCATAACTAAAAACAAATGAAAAGCAAATTAAAAATGGATGAAAAACAGACTGAATGGGAAAGTCATTAAAATCACAATAATCAAAACAATTAAATCATCACAAAACTCAGGAAAACAATTTTAAGTGCCAGGCGTTGTGGAGATGAAAGAATTTGGGTGGTCTGGAACTGCTGATTTTGACTCCGCATGGATTTTATATATGGTTTTTATTTTGCTATGCTTTTGAGGTTTGACTGTAAACCATTTTGAACTCCAAAAATCGGGGTGTGTTTTTTAAAAGAAAAAAAAGTGTCTGTGATATGTGGGGAACTCTAAAAGCTGCAGTACAAAAACACAAATATATCTACCTCTAATTTGGATCTTGACCTATGTGATGTAAGGGGAACTTTTGAAATTTTCATTTGAAAATGACTGCTCTTTCTTCTATATGTATTTATTCACCATTTTTGTGGAAGGAAGGTCTATTTAGGTCTTGGTAGACCAATCCTCTGGGCTGGATATAAAAAGCCAGTTTATTAATATAGATGATATACTAAACATTCTCTCTCTTGCTCGCTTTTGATTTGTTTTTGAATCTCTGACAGCACTCCCTTGGTCCCTTGTGGAGGAAAGAAGATGCTGGCTAGGTGCTCAGTGCTGTAACTATTGCTTGTATTAGTTCACATCATGAATTACAAAAATTAATTTGGCGGTGCACCTTTCTTGGCTTCCAAAATTGCTAGTTATGGCTCCGTTTCTCCTTCAAAAGTCCTTGAATGTTTCTCCAAAATCATGCATGTCAAAAATGTATCCTTTAAAAATAATGCAATATTACAGCTCCTTCAAATAAAATGAAATATTGCTTTAGACTTCCACCTATGAGCATTTTTAGTGACTTTACCCTTTGATATTCTTCAGGTGAGCTACAACTAGATGAAGAGAAGGAATTGAAAGTAGGAATAAAAAAAGTTTCAACTGAAGAAAGCAGTAGGGAAAAAGAAGGATCTAGGCTTCTAAAAGGCACAGCATACTGTGCTCACAAAGCAATGGGTCAAAGAGTTTAACTATTAAACAGGAAATCTTTACACAGAAGCCAACAGAGGAAAGAAGCTACAAGGTAAAACACTGGGAGATGGAATGAAAGCAGGATTAGAGAGGGAAAACAGACACCAATGATACTCAAATAGGATTAATTTAGCTGCCTAGAGTGGCCTTTTAGGCCAGATGGGCGGGGTATAAATAAAATAAAATAAAATAAAATAAAATAAATAAATAAATAAATAAATAAATAAATAAATAAATAAGATTAATTTATGAGATAAATCTCAGAAACACTGTGAGAAACAAACAAAAGTTATATAGGAAGGTGGGGGCAAAGTATTTAGTGGACATTTACGAATTAAAAGGAATTTAAGAAAAGAGAACACCACAGCTACACACCAGATAGCATCAGAAAATAAGATATTCAAGTAATCATATACAACTGGGTGACGAAGAACATCCCAGCACAGAAAGCCACTCTTATGCCCCCCCCCCTCAGACGTATTTATGGGCTCATACGTTTGAAGTTTTTGTGTCAGAGAGTAGGTGTGTGAAGACATGGAGAGTTTGAACTAGTGTTTTCTGAATTCAAGTTGTAAACATCAAATCTGTTTGTAATTCTGGGGCCTTTGACAAGCAGCTTAATTTATGGGATAGAGGCCAGCTATTTGGAACAGGTGAGGGGGCATATTTCCATTGGGCATGCCCAAACAGCTGGATATGCCCGAAGCAACTCTCCCTGTTTGCAGTCAGGTCAAATTCAATGTATTGTTTGAAATAATCAAAATAGCTTTAGGATTCTCTATCCCCGAGAACAGATCTCAACATTTGAAACCACATGTCTGCGGTGGGTATCTTCAGAAACCATGTTGTACATCCCACCTCTATTTAAAAAAAGGTTACATTAATGCTTAATATAAATAGTAACCACATGAAAGTGAGAAAAGGGGACTCCCTCAGGCTTCACTGATGCATTTTCAGTGGCCCATCCTAAACCTGCTGATTGTGTGAAGTGTAATCCTTCTGATCTGGAACCTTGTCTGCACTTCACTCTTCTCCTTCTCTGGGGCTGGGGGAGGGAAAGGAAGGTCACAAGGGCTTGTTAAATCCCTGTAAAGCAGTGGTCCCCAACCTTTTTAACACCGTGGACTGGCTGGGCTAGGTGGGGCACCCCCTGCACTTGTGTGCATGCGTGAAGGAGCAAGGGGTGCTCAAGTGGGTGGACATGCACTCACACGCGTGTACTCGCATGCATGCATGAAGGGCAGGGGCATTCGGGGGCACTCGTGCGCATGTGTAAAGGAGCGGGGGCACTTGTGCAGGCGCACACACACTTGCGCATATGCACAAAGGGCAGGGGCTGCTTGGGAGGCACTCGCGTGCATGCGTGAAGGGGTGTGGGGGTGCTCTCTCTCTCATGTATGTGCATGAGCGAAGGGGCTGTGCGGGGGGAGTGCATGTGCAGGGGCTTGGGAGATCTGTCTCTATGGCCCGGTCCAGCCCAGGCCACGGACCGACACCGGGCTGCAGACCAGGGGTTGGGGACCCCTGCTGTAAAGCAACTGCATGCCAAATTAGACCTGTGATTCTCAGTGGTGTTCACAAGTCCTCTCTTACATTCAAAACCTAAGAAGCAAGCTCTCAGTTTACAGGTGACATTAATAAATAACAATATTAGAACTGCAGAGGTGGAAGGGACCTTATGGATCATCATTCTAGTCCAGCCTCTGTGAAGGAGGCCCAGTGGGTAATTGAACTCCCAACCTCTGGTTCCCTAGCCGTCTACTTAAACCACTCGGTGATCCAGGTGGCTCGTACTTTTTAAATATATAATCTAAATTCAGGGCTTGGATACGTTGTTGTTTTTAAAAATATAATCCCCCAGATTTTCCATCCAACACAGCCACTGGCCATACCACCTGGTGGATTCAAGTTGTTATGCTTCTCTAAGCTACGATGAGATTTCATATACATGACCAAAAATACCCCAGTCATCTCTGGATAATTTTGTATTAGCATGACAAATCTTAAGGAGAATTTTATTACAGATCAGAGATAGATGTGTGGTAAAACAATAATCTGTACCCATATTTCTGTGTGAAACAGAACTTCCTTATAATGAAGTCACAAAATATTTTGTTACTCTGGGAAATATCCTCCTTCCCACACGAGTTTCCTACTCACATGAGACTGATCTTCAGGCTTGGGAAGCATTGACTGGGCAAAATGCCACACACGGTTCCATGTGGCAGACATTTGCTTAAGGCTTGTAGCGCGTTCGTTCAAGGCTTGCAGACAAACATAAACCCACACCTATGAACCACTACAATTGGTACAGAAGTGCTCCTCAGATGAAGCTTTTAGGCAAGTGTCTCTTTTCATTACCTTCACTGCTGGGATGGGCTTCTTTGGAACAAAATGTTTTCTCTCGAGCTCCGTCAACAAGCTGATCGGTCCTTTCAGTTTCAGTTTATTCTCAGCTATTATTTTCTTCCGTTGTTCAAGGTAGGGTCCAAAACTGGGAAGCTTCTAAAACAAACAAACAAACAGGAAGTCTGACATTTTTATGCACAACTAAACCGTAGCAGTCCTGGCATTGTTTCCCCCTCTGGGATTTATGGCTTCCTTCCCATGGTTGCAATTCGAATGACATTCACCTAGTATCAGTGGTATGAATGTTGAGTCAGCCCTTCTTTGCCCTTATGTGCATCAGGTATTCTGCCCACCTTCTTTTTTTATTTCTGAAATGCCACATCATGTACATTCGTCCGGTATACTTAATGATATCTTTATATTTAGAAATAAGTAAATATTCATTCAAAAAGAACAGTCTTCTGGCACCTTAAAGACTGAAATGTTTTGTCTGGTGTAATCTTTTTTGGATGTAGTCTGCTTCTTCAATGACATCCAAAGAAGAAGACTACCAATGCACAAAAGCTTATTCTAAAGAAAACTTGTGAGGCCGGAATCTTGTTCAGAAAGACTGTATAGGGAACAGCAACCACACAACCCCTCTGATTTTGCCATCAGTTGATGAACAGCTGCATGATAAGCAAACCACTTGTATGATTACTGTTTATGTGTTTCCTCCCAGCAGGATTCTGGCCATTGTGTTACAGGTACCATAAAACTCTAGAGTTTTCACTACAGCAGATGACAGACTGATATGACTACCTCCTGGACACTTTTAAATTACATTCAGGTTTTTTTTTAATTATAGGGGATCAGGACATTGTTGAGCCTGAAACTGCAGTAGAGGGTGACAGTACAGGATGGAATGCTGAAATGCAGTCGGAGTTTGCCAGAACTGCACTCCCAACTGGGAGGGATCATAATTTTTGATAATGTACAGCTATGTTACTGTGCAGCAGATTAAATCAACATTCTACAATGCAATTATAAAAATGGGGGCAGCCCAAACAAAAACCTATAACTTTCCAAATAGACTTTGGATCAGCACAAAATTTGGCATAGTGTAGCAGATAAACTGCTCTTGCTCTGTGCCATATTTCAGCAAAGAATTTTTAAGATATGATTTTTATAAAGTAATCCCCCCTCCCCATGCAAAACAAGTGACACTCAATGTCCCTAGATTTAAAATAGTTCATACAAACTGAAAAGACAAATCTTGCTTATCTTGAAAGAGAATGGTTGGCCCAATCTCCTTTTTTTACTCAGAAAGAATCCAGGCTGCAGGAGCTGAAATATTGATCCTCAAATATGTGTCTCCAGGGAGTTAGCACACAACTTTTTAAGGCATTAGCTGACTCTCAGAAGGAGAACTTTTTAATTCCTTCCTGACCAAACAGTCATTTGTACTGGCAGAGATTCTGTGTCTGGTTGTAAAAATATTTAATTTTTTTTTAAGAACAGAAAACAAATCAGTGACATTTACAGTGAGACCAAGCAAAGGAATATCATAGAAGACAATTCCTTTTTTCATCTGCAAATCAGTGACATTTACAGTGAGACCAAGACAATTCCTTTTTTCATCTATTAACTGCTTTTCAATCAAACACAAAGCAGTTGTCAGGGCTATTTTTCCAACAAGTGTGAATGTTAGTGAGCACAAGAGGATATCCTGCAGACCATCTTGACTCCTGCCATTGGTGTTGTCAGCATTCAGACTGCCCTTTGCTATGTAAAGTTTGGCATCCTTTTTCCTGTTGACAGTGCAGGCATAGTATTGTGCAGTAATATTAAACTATGTCCCAGTGTTTTGAATTGTGGATATAGAAGCACAATATCCCAGATTCATAAACCAGAGGGTTGGGTTTTTCTTAAAGAATGGAATTGCTTATCCCAGTGGATGCATCTGTGTCACCAGTTCAAAATAAGAAGCTAATTAAATGTTCCATTACAAGACATGACCCATACTAAACCAGCTTTCTCCAACCTAGCACTTTCCGCGTGTTTTGGACTATATTTTGGACTACAACGTCAAGCATCTTCAGCCACCTTGGCAACCTACCTTGCTTGATCAGCAATTACTGGCATTAGAGACCGATACATCAGGCCTGGAAAACCTGTGATTGTATAGTTCTAATTCTAATTGGAGAAGAAATCAGTTTACTTAATATTTTACATCTGTTTCCCCTTAACAATTAATGCACTGGTCACACAACTTTGTAAAACATGCTGTGAGATTATTCTGACATGGCACCTAAAAGGATATTGGCTCTGTTTTTTAAAAAGGTAGCAAGTTCGAAGCCAATTCTAGAAAATGCTCATTTTGTTCATTTCACTGTTTGACCTCACTGGCTTTCTTAATCTACAGCCTCTGGGCTCACTTTCACATAATACCGTAGCTGAGGAAGAATACTCTGCTTCAGATGCTGTCAGCTAAAAACCTAGGAATACTGGTTCCAATTTCTAAACATGCCAGGACCCATAGATAATGGCTGTATGTCAATCCGATAAAGCCAACTGCAACTCAGGAAGGTCATCATGATCTCTGACCTGGCAAGTAGTGCCATGAATCAAATGCGATTGATAGTGTTGGCCTCTTTCTGGAAAACAGAAGATGCCCCCAAGACAACTGGCTCCCCCTTTTCATAGTCCTTAAAAAGCTGAATCAAAGAGGGCCAGCTAAGCTAAATCAGAGAAACAGCATCCTTCTTTCACTTATAGGATACAGCTTCCCAGCATTGAGCAAACTTATGTTCTCAGCTCTCTTTTCCTCCTTATCTTTGTTGTCTGAAATGTATTTGTATTATTTGTTAGCACTAGTTTTGTAACAGTCCAGCCAAATGAATGCTATCAACAAAGGATAGGTGGTGGTGGTGGTTATTTCATTGTGGATTCAATTAGAAACCAGTCAATGCCAAAGGTCCACAGGCATGGAACAAATACATGGAGCTTGAATTAGGCACTCCAAAACAAATTGCCTGCTCCGGACTAAAATCCCTGACATATCAAAAACCATCTGTCTTGAAAAAAACAAAACATTTAAATGGAAAATTCCTAAAGGATGAAGGACCCTGCAAATACACTCAATACCAACTTTGAATCAAAAAAAAGTAACCGACGTTGAATTCTTTCCAAAGCAAAATAGGAAATAGCCTTGAGAACAGAACTTGCTAACATTTCATACATATCCTGTTTAAAGGTTCATGTCCTCATTGCCATCCTTCCAATTATGGATAGCATAATTCATAAAATCAGCCTTGTAAATCTCTACAGAGCACAAAGTGTGCTGCTTATATACCACCCCGTAGCACTTGAAGCACTCTCTGGGTGACTTACAATTTAATTATTTAGGCTACACGGTGCCCCCCTCCTGCCAGCAAGCTGGGTACTTAATTTACCAATCTTGGAAAGATGGAAGCTGAGTGAACCTTGAGCCGGCTACCTGGGATGAAACCCAGGTTGTGAGCACAGTTTTGGCTGCGGTACTTCAGTTCAACCACTGCACCATGAGGCTCCATCATCAGCTGTATCCTGAGTCAGCTGGAGCAGAAGAGACATCCAAGATCAAGTAAAGTGATGCCGCTTATTAAAAAATAATTAACTTCAGTCTACTTTTTGAGTGGAATAATTAAGCATGTACATTCAGGTTGACAGATGGAATTAAAAGCAGGGACAAGCCTGCTCAGAGACCCACTAAGAGCAGTTGACCAGGCAGAATGGTACCCATCATAGTTTCTCACTGCACAGACTTGCAGCCTAACAATTTAATGTTGCTGATTGTGAAGGCAAGCAAATAGAATAAGAAAGGTGATTTGGGTAAACTGATACTGCTTATGCAGTAGTAGTCTGTACTGCATGTAGTATTTCTATAACATATTTTTTTAATGTCCAGTCCTTTGAATAAGCTCCCTCCTAGGCAAACCATGCAAATTTCTGCAAAACACATGCATATGTTATTATTATCCTCAAATGACAGATGGAAGAATGATACTGGGTGAAGGTAGCTTGTCAAAGGTGACCCAGTGCATTCATTCATAGGAGAAAGAAAATTCATGGACCTGCGGATTCAAAAGCTGAGGCTCTTAGCTGCTATACCATATCAAGGTTTGTTTGTTTTTAAATCTTTCCTTTGATAACAGCTTTGAAGGAAAGCTTTCTGCTATGCTCTAAAATATGTAGCTTCATCAACAGTACCATTTAAGTGCCCACATGAAACACATAAAACTATTTTCTTAAGAAGGTCCCAATGTTGGCCCTCAATGTGGGCTATGTGATAGAGAATCTTGCTCCAGTAGAGATGTGCTGCATTTACACTACTGACCAAAAGCTTTTCCAACATGTGAAACTATACCAGTGTTAGATTTGACCAAATTCTTTGGTTTTGAATGTCATAAAGTGTTTTTTGTGTGGTTTTTTACCTTTTTTTAGCATAGGCAAAGTCTTCCACACTAGGTTTCCAAAAGCACCTTTGTAACTGGCAGGCTGTACAAATCTCCAGCAGCCATGTGATTTTTGCTTTCTCAGGGGGAGTCATCATTGATGAATTTGTTCTCGCTGGATAAGCTAAATCCTACTCATTTAAAGGAAGCAGTATCTACCAGTAGAACTGTTTCTATGTAGACATAAAAAGCATTATACTGCCAATAGTGAACTGACAACATAATGAATCAACAATAAAACCTTAAGCCAGCAAAGCTTTAAGGTGAATAAGCCTGTTTTGATTATAATTTATTCACAGATCAATCTAAAGCCAATTGAGCATATGATGGAGTAGAAAAGAGTCCAGCTTCCTAATACAAACACCCGCCTTATAGCTTCATTGTCAAATTACTGTAATTTTTCTAAATGCAATACACACCATTCAAATTAGAGAAAGGAATAAATAACACAACAAAGACTAGGGCTAACCACAAAAAAACAAATTCAGCAATGGTGACAACACAAAGTAAATATGACGAAATAGAGAAACCTATCTCATAAAAGGCGATTACAAAATAAAGGCCTTTGAATAGGCTCCCTGACTTGGCACATTCTCCCTTCCCCCACAAAGCAGCACGAACTGATATTATTTTTGTTCAATCCATGACTACTATCTCCTTGTTTTAAACACAAGCCAGTTG